AGGAAGAGCAGCTTCAAGGACTGGTGTCTGATATAATAGAATTCATATTCACTCCTCCCTGTGTGAAAAGGGATCCACCCCAGCCCATTACGTCTTCACCAAACCTATACTGAGGAGAACAGAGAGAGGGACTCTACCCACTAATACAATTGTACAAATCAAAACAGAACACTATGGAGAGTCCAATGGAGAATCAAAACCAACCACTCTCAGCCCCAAATTCCTGCAGTAATTCCAGACTGTTCAAGGGAGGGACCACACACACAATAAATGCAATAAATGCTTTATGGAAGCAAGTCTTTTACAAAAGCATCAAATAGTCCATACTGCGAACAAACTAAACTATTGCAATGATTGTGGAAAATACTTAGACAATAAGGTCCTCTGTAGCTCAATTGGTAGAGCACGGTGCTTGTAACGCCAGGGTAGTGGGTTCGATCCCCGGGACCACCCATACGTAAAAATGTATGCACACATGACTGTAAGTCGCTTTGGATAAAAGCGTCTGCTAAATGGCATATTATTATTATTATTATATTATAAGGGAAACCTGAAAAAGTATGTGACTGTTCACACAGGAGAGGGACCATATTGTTGCAAATAATGTGGCAAACGCTTCACTCTGCAGGCAAGCTTGATAAAGCATATGTAGATTCACACAGGGAAGAAATCACATCCATGCAAAGAATGTGTCAAATGCTTCATCTGGAATTAATCTCTGGCAAAGGATATGATGACTCACACAGAGGAGAAATCGTGTTAGTGCCCATTGTGTGGGAAATGTTTTACATTAAAAGGTGATCTAAAACGCCATCAGTTCAGTCACACTGGGGAAAAAGTGTATTTGTGAATATCAGTGTATTTGTGTCGACTTTTGTGTTACTAGCTAACTTACTTATATTTGGTCTATTTCTCAAGTTGCATTAACTGAAGGATGTTCCAAACACCAATTGTGATGTATTGTACCCCCAGTCTTTGTATGAAATTGAAGTTAATTAGTTGAAGAGAAGTGAAGACTGTATTTGTTTACATAGTTTGTACAAGCATTTACATAATTGAGTCTGAGCACAAGTTGGATTAGTTGACCAATTTGGTAACACTTTACTTGACATCATAACAGCTGACACAACTTGTCATAACCTGTCATAATATGATCATAACACTGTCATATATTTAGACTGTTGTGACATATATTGCGTTACTTTATGGCTGGTTATGACACCTACATAAGAGTGTCAAAACCTACCACACAAGGTAAAACATTCCATTACACCATAGCCTACTTTTCAACAGTATGTTTATGTTACATAACATTTTCTGAAATTGACCTTATTAAATTATAATTGTAATTGCGCACACATTGATGTCAGACATGCACCTACCCCAATGCTCTGTTGCTGATGGCTGGGATGAATGCAGGAGCAGATTTCAGGAGGACAAGACACACTCTTTTTGACTGATGATTGACATAAGGGCATGTACTTGACAGGCCTATCTAGCTTTGGCTTATATGATTATGATGGTCATAATGCTTCTTGACATTGTCATAAAGTGTATTTTCTTAGTCCAAGTAAAGTCACACAGGATGGTCATAATGCTTCTTGACAGTGTCATAAAGTGTATCTTCTGCAAGTTATTTAAAATATGATGGAAAAAAACATCACTAAAGAATGTAATACAACAACAACAACAACAAAGGACTTAAGAAACAAACTTTCAAACGAAAGGAATCTGAATAAATGTGGGTTTTGACACTCTTATGTATGTGTCATAACCAGCCATAAAATAACCCAATGTTCTGTATGTCACAACATGTGTAAATATATGGATCATGACAGTGTTATGACCATATTTTGACAAGTTATGTCAGCTGTTATGAAATATTTGGACATGGTTATGACCGTGTCATAAAGTGTTATGACGCTGGGAGTGAAGTCAAGTGTTACCATTAATTTAGCAGTTAACTGCTCAGAGCGCTTGCACCCATATAAAATCAAATCAAATTTTATTGGCCACATGCGCCGAATACAACAGGTGCAGACTGTCACACCCTGGCTCTGGGGACTCTATATGTTGAGCCAGGGTGTGTAGATTCTATGTATTCTAGTTCTGTGTTGTAGGTCTATGTGTTCTATTTCTATGTTGGCCAGTGTGGTTCTCAATCAGAGGCAACGAGTGTCAGCTGTGGCTGGTTGTCTCTGATTGGGAACCATATTTAAACAGTCTGTTTTCCATTCGTGTTTGTGGGATCTTGTTCCGTTTTGGTTTGTTGCCGTGTCGGTTGTGTTATACCGAGGACGTCACGTTTTCGTTTTGTTGTTTTGTTCGTGCATTCATTAAATAAATAAATATGTTTGCAACTAACGCTGCGCATTGGTCTACTCCGTATAACGATCTTGACACAGACATTACAGTGAAATGCTTACTTACAGCCCTTAACCAACAATGCATTTATTTTTTAATAAAAAAGTAAAATAAAACAACAACAAAAAAAAGTTGAGAAAAAAAGAGCAGAAGTAAAATAAAATAACAGTAGGGAGGCTATATATACAGGGGGGTACTGGTGCAGAGTCAATGTGTGGGGGCACTGGCTAGTTGAGGTAGTTGAAATAATATGTACATGTGGGTAGAGTTAAAGTGACTATGCATAAATAATTAACAGAGTAGCAGCAGCGTAAAAAGATGGAGTGGGGGGTGGGGGTGGGGGGGCAGTGCAAATAGTCCGGGTAGCCATGATTAGCTGTTCAGGAGTCTTATGGCTTGGGGGTAGAAGCTGTTGAGAAGTCTTTTGGACCTAGACTTGGCACTCCGGTACCGCTTGCCGTGCGGTAGCAGAGAGAACAGTCTATGACTAGGGTGGCTGGAGTCTTTGACAATTTTGAGGGCCTTCCTCTGACACCGCCTGGTATAGAGGTCCTGGATGGCAAGAAGCTTGGCCCCAGTGGTGTACTGGGCAATATGCACTACCCTCTGTAGTGCCTTGCGGTTGGAGGCCGAGCAGTTGCCAGTCAGGATGCTCTCGATGGTGCAGCTGTATAATTTTTTGAGGATCTGAGGACCCATGCCAAATCTTTTCAGTCTCCTGAGGGGGAATAGGCTTTGTCGTGCCCTCTTCACGACTGTCTTGGTGTGTTTGGACCATGATAGTTTGTTGATGATGTGGACACCAAGGAACTTGAAGCTCTCAACCTGTTCCACTACAGCCCCGTCGATGAGAATGGGGGCGTGCTCAGTCCTCTTTTTTTTCCTGTAGTCCACAATCATCTCCTTTGTCTTGGTCACGTTGAGGGAGAGGTTGTTATCCTGGCACCACACGGCCAGGTCTCTGACCTCCTCCCTATAGGCTGTCTCATCGTTGTTGGTGATCAGGCCTACCACTGTTGTGTCGTCTGCAAACTTAATGATGGTGTTGGAGTCGTGCCTGGCCATGCAGTCATGGGTGAACAGGGAGTACAGGAGGGGACTGAGCACGCACCCCTGAGGGGCCCCCGTGTTGAGGATCAGTGTGGCAGATGTGTTGTTACCTACCCTTACCACCTGGGGGCGGCCCGTCAGGAAGTCCAGGATCCAGTTGCAGAGGGAGGTGTTTAGTCCCAGGCTCCTTAGCTTAGTGATGAGCTTTGAGGGCACTATGGTGTTGAATGCTGAGCTGTAGTCAATGAAAAGCATTCTCACGTAGGTGTTCCTCTTGTCCAGGTGGGAAAGGGCAGTGTGGAGTGCAATAGAGATTGCATCATCTGTGGATCTGTTGGGGCGGTATGCAAATTGGAGTGGGCCTTGGGTTTATGGGATAATGGTGTTGATGTGAGCCATGACCAGCCTTTCAAAGCACTTCATGGCTACAGACGTCAGTGCTACGGGTCGGTAGGCAGGTTATCTTAGTGTCCTTGGGCACGAGGACTATGGTGGTCTGCTTGAAACATGTTGGTATTACAGACTCAGTCAGGGACATGTTGAAAATGCAGTGAAGACACTTGCCAGTTGGTCAGCACATGCTCAGAGTACACGTCCTGGTAATCCGTCCGGCCCTGCGGCCTTGTGAATGTTGACCTGCTTAAAAGTCTTACTCACATTGGCTACGGAGAGCGTGATCACATAGTCATCCGGAACAGCTGGTGCTCTCATGCATGCTTCAGTGTTGCTTGCCTCGAAGCGAGTTTAGAAGTGGTTTAGCTCATCTGGAAGTCTTGTGTCACTGGGCAGCTCGTGGCTGTGCTTCCCTTTGTAGTCTGTAATAGTTTTCAAGCCCTGCCACATCCGACGAGTGTCAGAGCCGGTGTAGTACAATTCAATCTTAGTCCTGTATTGACTCTTTGCCTGTTTGATGGTTCGTCGGAGGGCATAGCGGGATTTTTTATAAGCGTCCGGGTTAGAGTCCCGCTCCTTGAAAGCGGCAGCTCTACACTTTAGCTCAGTGCGGATGTTGCCTGTAATCCATGGCTTCTGGTTGGGGTATGTACGTACAGTCACTGTGGGGACGACATCATCGATGCACTTATTGATTAAATATTATTACACACTAAAGTATGTCACGGACCATTGAAATGCAAGACCCAACCAACACTTACAATCTGCCAACACTCTTACAAGTCACTCATACAATATGGAACATTATGATATTTGAGTATTTTCAGTTTCTTATTAACTTAACTGCTGGAATTGAGTCTGTGACCTACCTGGCCATGGGACCACACGAAGCCTGACAAGCAGCCTATCCATCCCTCCACATACATACATTGTCTGCTACTCCTACAGATACGTTGTGCAGCTTGGTTTTATTGGATCCTAATAGAATAAAGTAGTGATTAACAAATCTGTGTTGCCTTGGCCTCCTCCACACGGTAAATAAATCCAAAGCATTATTTGACTTAGCGTGAACCTAACACGCTAGGTGGCAGTATTGCACAAACTTTCACGCTGCAGCTTGCGCATCTGTGGAAGGAAGAGACGGGAAGCAGCAAACATTTCCTAGTATGGCTTGCGACCATCAATTTATCAAAATGTCTCGATTGGAATCGCTTAAGTCGTTTCTAACGGAGCGGCTATCAGCAGCTGCTAAGGAGATATTTGTCGTGATGGAACAAACGATAACCAAGTGTGAGGGAGACATTTCCCGTGCCAACCAGGAGAACGCGCGTCTACGAAGCCTAGTTTTGGACGTCACGGTGAACCCTGAAATGCTAGTCTCAGGTCTGCAGCTAGCTAGGCGGGTAGCTATGCAGTTTATGTAGAAATTCTTAAATTATACTCTGACCTATCTATGTATTTTTCATGATCGTCGACAGATGCGGAGCAAGGCGCAGCGTGATAGGCGTACATACTTTATTAAGTGTACACAACACGAACCAAAACAACAAACCAAACGATACGTGAAGTCCTAGGTCATAACACAAACCTTTCGGATCAAGATCCCACAAAATAACAGTGCCAAACAGGCTGCCTAAGTATGGTCCCCAATCAGAGACAACAAGCTACAGCTGCCTCTGATTGGGAACCACCCTGGCCAACATAGATATACACGAACTAGAACACAAACCTAGAGAACTAAACAATGAAACCTACACACCCTGGCTCAACATATAAGAGTCCCCAGAGCCAGGGCGTGACAGTATTACCGTCTCTCTAGCTAGCCCATATATCTACCGTAGGTTGTAATTGTAGCTACATTATGGCACTGTTATTGTGCAGTATTGGATAATGGTACAGTATCAATTTAAGGTGTAGCTTGCTTTAATAATATAACAATATGTGCCATTTGATGAGGTGGATGTTTTTTCAGATTCTCGGATGCTCACTCTCTCAGGCTCAATGAAGGGCCCCCCTGAGCGGCAGGAGTGGAGCCCCTGTCTGAGACAGGAGGACCCAGAGCCCACACTGATCAAGGAGGATCAGGAGGGCAGGACCAGCCATTGGAAAGAGCAGTCTCCTTACATGAAAGACTCACCTCAGTCCTCACATGCATACCAAACTGTAGACTCATCGGCACTCGCTGACACAGAGACCGGCAGGAGAATGGGCAAGCTTCAACCATGCCGTGACTCTCAGCCTCCCTCAGAGGGAAATACAGACAGCCCCTCAGCCCGGAGTGAAAGCCCCAGTGAGAGTGAGAGCAAGGAGAGTGATGCTGAGTACCAACAACTGCAATTGAAAAACCCACACAGGAGAGGAAGTGGAAAGGGCCAGAGAGTAAGGGGTCAAAGTTTGAAGGTCAGCGGGAGAAAGGGAGCAGAGACCTCCTTCCAGGAGTCTCCATCCTTCTCCATCCAGATTCAACAACCCTCATTCACCTGTAAGGTCTGCGGCAAGTCATTCAAGCACATGGGCAATATCAACGTACACGTGAGAGTACACACGCAGGAGGAGCCTTACCGGTGTGGTGTGTGTGGTAAACAGTGCCGGTCCTCCGAGGAGCTGACGGGACACTATGAGGGTCCACATCGGGGAGAAGGCCTTCAAATGTTCTGAGTGTGGGAAGACGTTCATCTCAGCGACCACGCTCAGAGTCCACCAGAAGATCCACACAGGAGAGTATCCCTATTGCTGCGAGGTCTGTGGGAAGTGTTTCACTCAGAAGGTTCACCTCAACATGCACATGAAGGTCCATATAAAGGGCAAATAGTGAGGATGTAGAGAGAGGAGTAAAGGATAGACTTATTTTCAGGTCAGTAGCATTGTCTTCCGACATGTGACGTCACTCCTACACAATGCTTGTTCCCCTGTTTAAAGATATTATGTGAGATTAATTCTCTTCTCCTGAGTTTCTCAAATGATACTCTAAAACAGCATTTTCCAAACTCGGTCCTGGGGCCCACCCTGGGTGCACGTTTTGTTTTTTGCCCTAGCACTACACAGCTGATTCAAATAATCAAAGTTTGATGATGAGTTGGTTATTTGAATCAGCTGTGTAGTGTCAGGGCAAAAAACAAAACGTGCACCCAGAAACACAGGAGAAGAGAATGAATCTCACATAATATCTATAAACAGGGGAACAAGCATTGTGTAGGAGGGACGTCACCTGTCGGAAGACAATTCCCCAGAACCGAGTTTGGGAAACCCTGATCTAAAAGACATTTGCTATGTGAACATGTGTGGGAAGTGTCCTTTTATCTCCAATGAGTGCAAACTACTGACAAGTCTTACATTAACCAAATTGGGACCCTAGCCTGAAAGCAGATATTTTGCCAATCATTCATAATGCTGCAACATATGAACCCAAAGTGCTTGTCTGTGTAAAGAATGTCTATTTTCTTATCCTTGTGTCATTTTGATGTATTCAAGTGTCACTAAATAATAAGGTGTCTCTGTGAGATCTTGATCTGTACCAGTGTTTTCAATGGGAAGTTATTTTCAAATCAAACTGTATTTGTCACAGGCGCCGAATACAAGTGTAGACCTTACTGTGACATGCTTACCTACACTTGAGTATACCAAACATTAGGAACACCTTCCTAACGTTTGCAGTCTTCCTAAAAATCATGACCACCTTGTTCATGATCTGTCTTCTCTCAATCAAGAATGTTCTATTGTTGCCCTTTCAGAAACATGGTTGACTGAAGAGACAACCATGCTTTATGACACGTCTCCTTATAATGCTGTTCACCACTGTTGAACACCAAGAGTGGGAGGAGGAGTGTCCATTTTTGTTAATAAACATTTTCAATTATTTGTAAGAGAGGACCTCGCACTTACATCTGATAACATTGATGTTGAATCTCTTTTCATAGAAATTCCCTCCTGTTCATTTCTTTTGTGGTATAAAAGTGGTCATTGGATGCATCTATCGGACACCCGATTCTGACATTGGTAGTTTCATTGATATCCTTGCATCAACCTTAGTTTTGATTAATAATTAAGATAAAATGTGTTTTCTATTAGGTGATTACAACAAACGTATTTAAAAGTGAGAACCACTCACTGACATCTGACTATTTTAATACGTTATACTTCAGTTATCCCCTCATCTATAAGCCCACAATAGTGACCAGTTCATCTACCACCCTTATTGATAATATTTGTACAAATTCTTTGAATAATGTGACTAATATAGGAATACTTTATACTGACATTTTGGGACCACTTTCCAATTTTCCACTTCTCTTTGGCAGCTGGAAATGAACAGATGGGAATGATTAGTAGCATATGAAAATGTATGCACTCACTGGATAAGAGTGTCTACTAAATGACTAAAATGTAAATGTAATTAAATGTAGAATATTTAACAAAAGTAATTGTGAGTGCTTAAAGATGTTGATTGATGATATTTCATGGAAAATGTTTTATAATCAGGCCGATGTAGAGTCTGCTTACAAGACTTTTCTCACATCTTTCCATTCTGTATTTCACCACTGCCTTCCCTTAGTTAAATCACATAAGAGAGCAGCAGAAGGGTTCTGGAAACCTTGGTTTACAACTGGTCTCAAAAAACTAGTTGTATAAAAAGTTTCTCACAAATCCCTCTCCCCTGAATTCTGCAAATTACAAAAAATATAAGAACAAATTTACTCACCTACTTCGGATATCCCAAAAATGATATTTTACTAACAAATTCCAAGAAAGGGTGGTGGGGTTGGAAATTAATAAAGGGAAATATATTTTTTTAAATTTAATATATATGTATGTGTATGTGAATATGTATGTATGTATATATATATATATATATATATATATATACAGTGGGGAGAACAAGTATTTGATACACTGCCGATTTTGCAGGTTTTCCTACTTACAGAGATCATACGTTTCCTGTAGGTCTTGACCTGGTTTGCACACACTGCAGCAGGGATTTTGGCCCACTCCTCCATACAGACCTTCTCCAGATCCTTCAGGTTTCGGGGCTGTTGCTGGGCAATATGGCCTTTCAGCTCCCTCCAAAGATTTTCTATTGGGTTCAGGTCTGGAGACTGGCTAGGCCACTCCAGGACCTTGAGATGTTTCTTACAAAGCCACTCCTTAGTTGCCCTGGCTGTGTGTTTCGGGTCGTTGTCATGCTGGAAGACCCAGCCACGACCCATCTTCAATGCTCTTACTGAGGGAAGGAGGTTGTTGGCCAAGATCTCGCGATACATGGCCCCATCCATCGTCCCCTCAATACGGTGCAGTCGTCCTGTCCCCTTTGCAGAAAAGCATCCCCAAAGAATGATGTTTCCACCTCCATGCTTCACGGTTGGGATGGTGTTCTTGGGGTTGTACTTATCCTTCTTCTTCCTCCAAACACGGCGAGTGGAGTTTAGACCAAAAAGCTATATTTTTGTCTCATCTTGTAGTTGTTGATCAGTCTCTCACGTCACTGTGGAGGAATTTTGGCCCACTTTATTTTTGTGGTGTGGTTTTCATATACAGTGGGGAAAAAAAGTATTTAGTCAGCCACCAATTGTGCAAGTTCTCCCACTTAAAAAGATGAGAGAGGCCTGTAATTTCCATCATAGGTACACGTCAACTATGACAGACAAATTTAGTTTAAAAAATCCAGAAAATCACATTGTAGGATTTTTTAATGAATTTATTTGCAAATTATGGTGGAAAATAAGTATTTGGTCACCTACAAACAAGCAAGATTTCTGGCTCTCACAGACCTGTAACTTCTTCTTTAAGAGGCTCCTCTGTCCTCCACTCGTTACCTGTATTAATGGCACCTGTTTGAACTTGTTATCAGTATAAAAGACACCTGTCCACAACCTCAAACAGTCACACTCCAAACTCCACTATGGCCAAGACCAAAGAGCTGTCAAAGGACACCAGAAACAAAATTGTAGACCTGCACCAGGCTGGCAAGACTGAATCTGCAATAGGTAAGCAGCTTGGTTTGAAGAAATCAACTGTGGGAGCAATTATTAGGAAATGGAAGACATACAAGACCACTGATAATCTCCCTCGATCTAGGGCTCCACGCAAGATCTCACCCCGTGGGGTCAAAATGATCACAAGAACGGTGAGCAAAAATCCCAGAACCACATGGGGGGACCTAGTGAATGACCTGCAGAGAGCTGGGACCAAAGTAACAAAGCCTACCATCAGTAATACACTACGCCGCCAGGGACTCAAATCCTGCAGTGCCAGACGTGTCCCCCTGCTTAAGCCAGTACATGTCCAGGCCCATCTGAAGTTTGATAGAGTGCATTTGGATGATCCAGAAGAGGATTGGGAGAATGTCATATGGTCAGATGAAACCAAAATATAACTTTTTGGTAAAAACTCAACTCGTCGTGTTTGGAGGACAAAGAATGCTGAGTTGCATCCAAAGAACACCATACCTACTGTGAAGCATGGGGGTGGAAACATCATGCTTTGGGGCTGTTTTTCTGCAAAGGGACCAGGACGACTGATCCGTGTAAAGGAAAGAATGAATGGGGCCATGTATCGTGAGATTTTGAGTGAAAACCTCCTTCCATCAGCAAGGGCATTGAAGATGAAACGTGGCTGGGTCTTTCAGCATGACAATGATCCCAAACACACTGCCCGGGCAACGAAGGAGTGGCTTCGTAAGAAGCATTTCAAGGTCCTGGAGTGGCCTAGCCAGTCTACAGATCTCAACCCCATAGAAAGTCTTTGGAGGGAGTTGAAAGTCCGTGTTGCCCAGCGACAGCCCCAAAACATCACTGCTCTAGAGGAGATCTGCATGGAGGAATGGGCCAAAATACCAGCAACAGTGTGTGAAAACCTTGTGAAGACTTACAGAAAACGTTTGACCTGTGTCATTGCCAACAAAGGGTATATAACAAAGTATTGAGAAACTTTTGTTATTGACCAAATACTTATTTTCCACCATAATTTGCAAATAAATTCATAAAAAATCCTACAATGTGAATTTCTGGATTTTTTTTCCTCATTTTGTCTGTCATAGTTGACGTGTACCTATGATGAAAATTACAGGCCTCTCTCATCTTTTTAAGTGGGAGAACTTGCACAATTGGTGGCTGACTAAATACTTTTTTCCCCCATTGTAAGCCCTCGGGCTTCCAACCACAGCTGCACACCATTTTTATTGTATTTGTTTTTATCTGTATTGTTGTCTATCACTTGTTTTCTTTGGTGCAAATAAACTAAACTTAATATTGAGTTGCATCCTCCCCTTTTGCCCTCAGAACAGCCTCAATTCGTCGGGGCATGGACTTTACATGGTTTCGAAAGTGTTCAATAGGGATGCTGGCCCAATTTCACTCCAATGCTTCCCACAGTTATGTCAGGTTGGCTGGATGTCCTGGGTGGGGGACCATTCTTGATACACACAGGAAACTGTTGAGCGTGAAAAACCCAGCAGCGTTGCAGTTCTTGACACACTCAAAGGTACTTAAATA